GCTCCTCATCGTGATATATAGCAAGTGACCTCATTTAGGGCTGCTTACGTATTTCTGGATAGCTGTACATTAGAAGGGAGAACCACAACTGCCCCAGGCAGGTCACAGTCCTTCCCTTGGTGCCGGTTCAGCTTCTCTTTGTATGTGATGGGGAGTTGAACCAAACCACACTCGACCCTCATCTCCCTCTGCCTAGTCATCCTACCAGCCCATCATCACACTCATAAGGACACACAGTGTAATGGACCTTTCAAAAGACCTGAGTCTTCTAGCTCAAAGAACTCAAAACATGGTCAAGTACAAATGCAAATATCTGTCCTTCGTGGAACATCATCAGGAAGTGACTATTTTACTGAACAGAATAAACAAGGCCACTATTTAACAGCATACATGAAAAGCAGGGTGGCACAGATCAAAACATAAAGATTCCTTACTCAAATAACGCTAGTTAAGAATTATTATGCCTGACAGTGGGGGAAGAGTCACATTTTTAGGGTTATCAAGGCTGCTCTGAACAGAAGCTAGAAATTTGTAGTAGATACACATGGTCAGGATTGAAGATCTACATCTCACCTGCATTAGAAAAGCCCTGGCTGCAGGCTCCATGGCATTGAGACATTGCAGAATTCTGTCTACTGTCTGTCATCCATCCACCTCGTGTCCCGTATCAGCAATTGTCTTAGCACAGTGCTAAGCATTTTCCAACTGTGTAACTTAGTATCAACCCAGTCCAAACCAGCCCCTTCTAAAGATTATGAGTACACTTAGAAAGCCACCTACTCAAGACATGGAGATACCCAGCTCTGCTCAACTTACAATTTTACTGAATGCTGACAATGTACTGGCACAAAGCACTGTCAGCAACTGGTGAGCTGAAAATAGAGCTCCTAATCTCAAGAGAACAGCCACAGCACAACATCCTGCAAACACTTCAGGCCTTTCAAAATAGGTGATTAATGTCCATATATAAACAATTACATTTTCACTAAAATATCTGTTCAAAGAACACAACTTCTTGTATTAAAATAACGGTGGAGTTACCTTGTGCTATTGATTTTAGAATCAGGAGTAATTTTATATTCACATCACTATAACATCTATTATGCTCACATCTCTGAACCAAAGCAATTTGGAGGTCTTCCAGTTCCTTTTACATCCCCAAACCGACATTACAGAATCACAGAACGCTTTAAGTTGGAAAGGACCTTTAGAGACCTTTAGAGATCATCTAGTCCAATCTTCCTGCTCGAATGACCAAGTCACAGCAGTCAGGCTGTCCCCTCCTTGTTTAGTGCTGGGCACCCTACCAACTGCTGCCTCTTTGTGCTCATCTGCTCCAAGAGTCAACACAGCGTCTATTTTCTAGACAGTTCTGGCTATCTTGTTTCTATTTGATCTCATGCAAGAATCCTAGGTCTTCCTACACTATGGTAAGAAAAAAAATATGCATGAGACCACTGCTGAAATGAGTGCTGGAGGTGCTGGGAGCAGGACAGCCTTGAATAACACAAAACCCCATGACTCAGCAACTACAAAACAAACCATCCCTCCAGGAGACCTGCACATCAGGGCATATAACATAGGATATATGCTGTGCACTCAGCCATACTAGAGGTCTCTGAGGAGAACAACATGACATATTCCTTCCAAGGAGACTTACTTCACAAATAAAAGCTACTTCATTTCCATACGCACAAAGCATGTGTCTCCCAATGCCACTTATTACTGGCTCCAAGGCAGCAAAGCCATTTTACACGTTCTCCTCCTTCTCCCAAGAAACATGCATGGAAACACGAATGTTCAAGAGCTACTTCTCTTTCCTAGCCGTTCCACTTCCTTCACAGGCATAGTGTGCCAAATTCTTCTCAAATTCATTCATGATTTCCCCAGTTGTGAGCACCTCAAAACTACTATATTGCTCTATTTGCTAAAATATTTGCTAAAATATTTGCTAAAATATTTGCTGAAAAAGTGATCCTGATCATGCCAGGTAAAAACTGAATTGCTAATAGAAAAGACAGTTCATTGAAAAATGACATTGTATGGTCTCATTACACTTCATTCTGATCATGCAAGGAATTAAATCGCAAAACCAGTGTCAGTTTGTTATCTTGCCAAATCCTAGCAAGGTGTTTTCTCTGCAGTTAAGAGCTCGTCGTGGCTTTTTTCCTCTTTTAAGTAGGGCCCTACAAAGGTTTTTTGATATCAATGAAAATCTTCCAAAGCTTTACTTAGCAGTAGAACCTTAGTGTGCTTTAAAAGTCATGCCATCGTATACAAAGTACAAGGAGACAGTACAGTGAAAATAGAAATTAGTAGGAGGAATTACCGCTCCAACGGCCTAATACTCATTGAATTGACTGCATGGAAAACATGGAGCGTGTCTGCATGGACACCAGCACATCCCAGCAACAGCGTCTTCTGTTTGCAGAACAGTTTGCAGAACAGTTTATTTCCTTACACAGATTGCAGGACATTACTGTTAAAAATCACCTTAGAAGTTCAAATGTTGGCCTTGGCCCTACAGAACCTTGTCTGAACCATACAGTTATTCAGATACCTATACTCATAGCCTTTTGTCTCATACAGCCTCTTCATGCCAATCATATTTAGCATAGTAACAAATTGGCTTGCAAAAACACTGGGCAAAAAGTAGAAAAAAAATATCAGCATTAGAATCTCCAAAGACTAGACAAGACACCTTTTTGGTTATCTTTGGTTTATCTTATGTTGTACAGGCGCTTTGCACATTTTGCTACAACGGAAACCAGCCCACAATTGATTATGTTTCACAGCTAAAAGGATTTGTACTTACACTTTCCCTTTGCTGCCAGGGTCTGGAAGCCTTGACCATGAAGGCATTTTGGAAATGCTTGTAGTAGAGCAAAAGAGAAACGGAGAGAGAAAGTAGAAAAGAAACAAAAGGCCAAGAAATAAGATATCGCTGTTAGGAAGCAGCTAAAGAATCAAAAGCTTGGAAAAAAGCATGCAAAATGCACAATGGACTCCATGAGTGTACACTGACCACCTAGTCCTATATGCCAGGTATTACAGCCTAAAAATGCCTCAATTTTGAAAACGATAAACCTTGGCAGGTGTAATAGATCCCCGCAGACAGATCACAGAGAAATCCCACCCAAACACACGCAGAGCTGACAGGATGCGACATCCCACCGACATTCATCAACCTGTGGTGTGCAAAACCATCCTGCACAGTCCCCGTGCTCCCAGCTTTGTATCAAAACCACATGCCATTTTCTTGCAAAACACACAAAATCCTAACAAACTGCCATTTGGGAGGTGGGGAGGGGTTAACAGTGCACAGTTATCTTTCCGGACAGGTACTACCTCGTTGCCTCAAGCCTTCCAGTTTGTACCTGCCATCTACCCTTCAGCATCCCACAGGCCACTCCATGGTCCTGCTGCGGCCGCTTAGGTGACAGCTAAACAGTTCACTTCTACGCTGTCAAAACCCAGTCAAAACCTTCACTATTAACGTTTCTAGAGTGCAGAGCGAGTCTCCTGGGATAAGGAAAGGAACGCTGATGCTGCGGGTATCCCGCTCTTCCCCCTGCCCAACCATGTACTCGTCTGTCTGTGCGATGCGGAACCTGGAAAATGTTTCCTAACTGAGCAGGGAGCAATCACGCCATGCCCCAAAGCAGGACATTTCCTCCTACATGTGGCCCTGAGGAGCGGTAATGATAATAAACGTGTTTTATTTGCTTTACCACAGCACAGGGCGGGCCGGCCCTGGCCGCCCCACAGAGGAGGAGGAGGGAACGGGCCGGGGCGGGACAGGCCGAGCCTGGGCGGCGCTTTCGGTTTTGCTTCAGCCCCCGGAGCGGCGCCGAGACCAGGCAAGGCGGCCCCCGGGCCTCCCCCCGACCCCCCTGCGGTGCCCGGGCCCGGCCTGGCCGCGGGTTTAACGCCCCGTCCCTCCGCGCGCCTCAGCCCGGCCTCGCCGAGGGCCGCGCTTGGCCCCTGGCTTTGGGGGTGTCGGTGCCCCCAATGGCCCTTGGGTTTGGGGGTGCCCCGCGGAGCCCTCCGGGGCTAAAACCGCTCCTTTTCGCGGGGGGCAGTGTGGGCCGTGAGCGCCCGTGAGCCACGAGGCCTGGTAAAAGTTCCACGGGGCGGTTTGCAAGGCAGGTATGGAGGTGGCCTCCGCCGCCTTAAATGAAACATACATAAGGAAATTGAGCTATACGTTCTCCCAAGTGCAGGGAAGGGCAGCAGCTGCTGCTGGTTTCCCCAGGGAGAGCCTGGGGTTTCCCTTGCTGCAGCCCCCAGGTTCCTGCTGGATAAATGAGGATGGCCAAGCTTGCAGTGAAGTAACCTGGGGGAAATTGCTGGAATTTGCAAAATAGGCTGCAAGATGGCAGGAAAAATGCCTTTTAATTCCTAAGAAGGACCTCACAACGCTTTCCTTTTCCTAAAGACCACATGCATGTATTAAATCATCATTAGAAGAATATAAAATTTATATGACAGCTGATAGAAGAGAGAAATTAGGAGCTAGGCCTGAGATTCCACCTAGAAATCATAACGTGTTTTATGCTTGTTTGAACGTGTCCATGGAAATGGAAGCAGGAGAGCTTTCAGCAAGCATCAGCATTGGGTAGGACAACCTGCAGTTCCACATATTTTGGTGCTAGTTGGCCTTGCTTTCATCCCAACACCATTCAGCTTCTTGGAATTAATCAAAAGATCTTCCATCATAAGATGACTTCTACCTTAGTTCTTATCAGCATTTTGGTATAAGAAGGGTTATTTTTTGGTAACTCCCACTAAGTAATATTGTCACAGCTATATTATATCCGTCATATGTAGTGTCACACTAATGCTAGGTTGAAAACTGGTTTATAGAACCAGTCTGTTGACTTAAAAAAGAAGTGTTCATTGAGGGATGTTTACTTTCTCATGCACTTACCTTAGGAAGGTCGGACTAGATAATCTCTAGAGGTTCCTTCCAACCTTAACCATTCTGTGTTTACCTGCAGATGTCAGGACACCAGGAGACTAACGTTGACTGCTCCACTCAAAACAGAGATGAGGAAGACCAAAGTGATGTAACCGATGCAAGACCAGACAGAAGGAGCAGATTCTCACTTTTTGAAAAGTAAATTACTGCTTTTTTCCTGCTGTTATTATATCAGTTATAATGCTACCCTTGTAATAGAATTTTAGTGTCCCATTTGCCACATCCACAGCAACATGGATAAATCTAGAGAGGGAAGCAGTTGGGTAAATTTAACATATGTGATCTGTACCCTAAAGCTAAATAGTTATCAAGCTTCTCTGATTTACAGAGCCTTAAAATATCTCTCAGCAGCTTTCCTTAGTAGCCAAGAGACCACTAACTTCACTGAGAATCAGCTGTAGCCCCTCAACTTAAACATTGCCCTTGGGTGGAGCTTAGAATTAAATATGCCACTAATTATCTGTTTTACTACATTCAGCTCAGCTAATCTTCAGCATATTGGAATCCCCTGCTGAGTATTTAAGTTGATTTAAAGCCTGAATGTACTATCTAGGTTGTAGTTCAAAGAAGCTTTGCTGGGGCTAGAGAGGTAACCTGCTACAGAATAAATTAATTTTCTACTGAAGTGTAATATTGCTTTCATAAAATATACAGGAAATAAGAATTATAATAGGCAAATGTGATAGCAATAGTAGAAAGTAGTAGGTAAATGTGATACAAAAGGAGAGAGAAAAAAGTAGTTATATAAAACTTGCTGTTGCAAGTGATTTTTTTTTTAAATCAGAAATTACTCAAAAGCATTTATCTTTTGGGAAACTCCTTGAATATACAATTTGAAATGCTTTTTTTTAGAAGTAAAATTCAATTTAAATACATTTAGATAGAAGAATAAATACCAAGTAACTCAAAAGATTCAACACTTTGTAGAAAATGAAGTTTGAAAAATTTTATCAGAGTTCTTTTGAAGAAAATAAGGATTGTGTAGAAAGGTGACAAGTTGGTTGACAGAGAAAATCTTACAAATCCAAGCACAGAGACAGAACTTGTCATCTTATAGAAACTAAAACTTGTCCTGGAGAAAAATGTGGAAAGAAAGCAAGAGGGTAAAGGAAGAGGGAATGTGACCTGTAAAAGCCTGAGTGTTAGGAAGAAGGTGACTAAAGAATGTTTGTTTATAAATATTATAAAAAAAATAGCAATTGTCTAATGAAATGGCCATGTAATAGACTTAAAAGGATTTTAGAAATCCTTAGAAGGATGTGTTTTTTATGTAATGCGAAATGCTGGTGTAGAACTTAAAGCTGTTAAACAATGTAGATATCAAGGATTTAAATGAGTTCAAAAGAATGTATGAATTCCTGGAAGAATCCTATTCTGTGGGAATATGTTCTGCTTCCAGTTTCTATTTGTATTTTCTGAACACTTATTACTAACTCCTACTGTTATTTGGGAGCCTTTCTGGCTATGTGCTTGCTCCACTTTAGTAGCGTGAAATTACTAGTTGTAGAAAAGGTGTCTAGAAAGCTTTAGATAACTATAACCTTTATGGTTCACAGCTTTGTTTCCGCAAACAAAGGAGTGTTTACCAGTTGGGCAGTAGTTTCAAGGAAATAATACCATGTGCTTCATTTATTTTCACTTACGTGCATACATAGGCTCATAACTGTTTTTTTCTTGAATTAAGACATTAAAATTAATGTTGAGAGGAGCCAAACACTATGAAATTATTGAGAACCATGCAGAAAGGCTGGCTACCTCACAGCTCCAATGCATTCCTCTGGCCATGCTTATGTAGCAAAAGCAGTAAATGGAAGTAAATAAAAATCTCCCCCACTGCAGCTTGGGGAGGCTCTTCTATGTATTTCCTTCACTTGGCAAAAGTGCTAGTGCTTACTTAATTTTGGTGAGTAAAAAGTGCTTGGGAGGAGAGGTGTTTGACAAAATCTTGAATGAACGTTTGCTTTGTTTGCTGTAGGGTTTCTAGCCACCAGATGGCACGCTAGCATCACTTTTGCTTACTGACAAAAGAGGAGGGGGGAAAAAAAGTTATTGTGATGGAAGAGAAGTTCCCTAGAGCTGCAGTTCAGCAAAGCGTTGTGCTTCAGAAAGCAGAAATAGCAGGATACTGTCTGGCAAGCCTGAGCACAGCACAGCTGTAAATGTTATGCATAAAAGAAAACTGGGCTGATGATCTGAAGTGTGTATTTAAATTCTTTTTGTGATGACTGGGGAAAAAAAAAGCCATAAAACTTTCTTTTCTCTCTAAGTGCTTCTGTAATATTATTTGAGGAATTATCTCTTAAAATAGTCTCACTTTCCCACAGGATTATTTAGTATCTTTGTTTTATGTATTTTCTTTCATCAGGGTACTGCATTGGGAGATAAGAAACATGATAGCTAGATATATTTTTAGCATGCAAGTAGCATCACAAAAAAAAGCTCTGGTTCCACGGTATTAAATAGAGCTAGAATTTCTTGCAGTTGTGAGTTGTTTTTAAATGTATATCTGAAAATTACAAGCATTTGGTACACTAGCGTTTGCTCTACCAACATTCATAACCGTTTGTGGGCCTCAGTGAAGAATAATGCAGTAGAGGGCGAGTAGTAGTAGTATCTAGATATCAGCAACTTTCTAATTTAATTTTACAGAGGCATTTGTCTGCTGGTTCCTTTCATCCTTTTTTTTTTCCTTCCAGCCCTGCTAGCTATCTGTTTTACATTCACTATTCCCTTTTTTTATAGAAATATAAAATAACTTTTAAATCTATGTCTAAAAATTCTTACAAATAACTAGTTATCACTGAAACTCTTCATGATTCTATAGTGGCTTTAATTCAGAAAAATGAATTGTTACAAGACTAAAGTGAGGAACGGGGAGGGGGACTTATAGGGAACATTGATACATAGTCACCAAGGGTACATCAGCTATTTAACAGTGCAAAGCAGCAAAACTTCTATGAAGTATTTATTGCTGCCAAGCCAGAGGAGTTGAAAAATTGAGACTTTGTTTTAATTAATTTGAAAGTCTGCCAAAAAAAATCTGTGCATGTTTGGTCTTCCGTAGTTCAGCAGTTGTTACAGCCGCCAGCTAAATGCCCAACCTTTGCAAACTAGTGTTTAAATCCGAAAGGGTTGCAGGTAAAGAAGGCTTTTTTCTTTTCTTTTTCTTTCTTCTCTCCATATGTATAGTGTTTATTGAGGTTTTAGAGCACCAGCTTGGGGAAGTGCAGATGTTACTAAAACAGTGTAATTAATTGCATGATGTAGGTCTCAGTATGGCCATATTTCTCTAAATGGCTTTATCTCTCAAACAAGAAATAACTATTTTTGACATTCAGCCTTATAACCTTCCTTTGCATATGGGAAGGCAGAAAAGGGATGGACTGCTTGTGATTGGTTTTAAACATATTTGCATGAACGTGTTTTTTCCTGTATAATCATCCTGATCCTAGTAAGTTGTTAAGTTAATAGATCACCTAATTCAGTGAGACCGGATTCCCTTCAGGAAAATCCCTGATTCGGATGAATAGCCAGTTGTAATGACAGCTCTGGAGCCGAGACAGGACTAGAAGTTGTCTTTGTGTGTCAGCCTTGCTCTTGTGTTGTGCTTCAGTACTGTGAGGGAGATACTTCCCACCCACTTTTGATTGCCAGTAGTTTATTTTTATCCAGTTTATAGGAAGCTTATGTGCATACATAGGGAGAACTGTTGGAAGAATTGTTTCACAGCGTGTAAGTTTATGGGGTTTTTCTTCTTTTTTTTTCTTTTTTTTCTTTTTTTTTTGTTCATTCTCCGCTAGCGTCTTTATCCATTTCCAGAGTTACTCATTTTATGTTGTTAGGGCCTTTTGGAAGCACTGTGCCTGATATTATAAAGGAATTGCTTTGTCTGTAGAGAAGTTGCCCCTGTTCACATTGGGTATCTGAGGGCTCTGTCAGTGTCAGCTGCTCCTGCCTTTCAGTCGGTGCGTTCAAAGCCAAGTGATGCCTTCGGTGATGCTTCATCTGTTTCAACATAACTTTTCCAGTTCTGTACCAGGTTTTTTAGCCACTGAATATTACAGATCCTTTTAAAATAAACATTGGTAAGAAAAGTATATCGTTAGATAGGACGGAACAAAAATAACCAGGTTAGTTTGCAAAGGAGAACAGCAGATGACGGTTTCATTAACTGAGGTTATGCTCTGGGCTGGAACTCAGCGATCTGGACTGAAGGCGTGATTCAGACGCTGGTTTCCTTTATGGGTCTAAACGATTTTTGCCTTGGTTTACCCTGTAAAGGTTTCTCTCTTCTTTTCCCCCTCTCCTTTTTAACTGACTTCTAAGTATCCTGACTTCAGTGCTTACTAACTGAAATCCGAGCTTCAAAGTCCAGCACAATACCAATTTAGTTTTGTTTCGAGTTTGAGTTCTACTTTACACAAATGTGTATTCCCCCTGAAGCACTGAACCTGTAACTTCAGAAAAAAAAATGTTTCACACAGCTCCTTTTAAGCTAGTGGTTTTATTTTCATTTTCTTGTTTGATCTAGAACCCAAATAGTTGTGTAACAACTATTTAAAACTGTGGCCAGTGCTTGTACTGTCCCCTTGGAGACTTTCAATGTACTTTATGGGAAATGTTCGAGTACCTTGAATTGTATCCAGTCCAAAGTATAAGAAGTCATTAATTTGCAGTGAGTATTTGTTTCCAGTTTCCTTAGAGACCTCCTCATGTGAAGCACAGCAAACACTGAGTTATTCTTCTCTGTGTTTATAGCAATCACAGTAGCAAGTCAAGAATCAGAATCCCTTTCATCTCCCTCATTGCGGTGAACTTTGTGTTATTGCTCAAAACAGGGAGGAAAACTGCAAACTACTATAGGGTGTAATTTTTTTAAGCCACTAACAACGAATCCAAATTTATTATAAATCAGAACTGTAAGAGTAGATATATATGTACACATATATATATATAAAAATATATATATATATAAAAAAGTTCTGTGAATTACAGTGAAAAAGGGATTTGTAAACAGTGTATGCCAGGATTGTTTTTTAGAGAAGTTCTTGGTGTAAATGTTGTGGAGATGATGGAAAAGCTCCTGAGAGAAAGAAGACAGGTTATTAGCAGCTTGCTATCTCATGTCCTACCTGAAG